TATATATATATATATATATATACACACACACATACACATACAATATTCCTTATGTAGATTTCTACTCATTCATTTATTCCTCAATCTGCAACCATTGGCAGGGTCATTGATCTGGCATCACAGGTAACAAGCTACACTCTTAGTGGTAACCTTATTCGACTAATACACAGTCGACTTGAGAATGGTCCTGGACGGACCGAAACGTCGTCGTCCCTTCAACTTCTAGTGTGTGGTCTGGTCAACATACTTCAGCCACGTTATTGTGACTCATCGCCTGCGTAACCTTATTCCCTTGGCCTTCTTCCTGCCACCCGCCTGTATCTCGATAAAATCCTTGGTGAATCGGATACTTGTGATATTGCTCCCCTCATGTGCTTTTGTTCCCTTATTGGCATCCTTGGTGACAATTAGTGCCTTTTGATTATCCTTCGACTTTGATGTGCTGTGTAATATCCCCGGCTTAATGCTTTCTGTTCATAATCAATTACTTCCTTCTGCTACTGTAATAGATGATGGGAAATACCTCTGTCTAGGTTATGCATTGGCCACACATGCTTCTTAACTTGTGGGCACTTAAGGGATTGTTGTCGTTTTCCTTAATGCTCCACTTAGTTGTGCACCTTCTTGTAAACTGTAAATTTTCAGGGGGTTTGTATATTTAGCTTTCCTAATGTCCCTCTGGGTCATTTTGTTCATACTTTTAGGAAGAATAAATACTGAATGCATTATGTACACATTTATTTTTAGCCAATAAAACCAAGATTAGGCCATTCAAGTGAATGATCATTTAGGTTAAAAACAGACCACAATACAGCATTATTTCAGGGTAGTAGTTGGACACTGCCACTGATTAATATTTCTCGACTTAAATATACAATACCAAACAATTTCAATTATCTTCAACTGGCACTATAGAAACTTGGCATATGATGTAAACTTGAGAAACAGTTTTTGGAAAATTTTAAATTAAAATTCATTACTTTAAACTTTTCTACAAGTTATCCCATATGTCAAGTTCTGAATAGTACAGTATCATCAGTTTTGTGTATGATTTTTCCAAACCAATAGTGTATACATTATAGCAATCCAGCTGTAATTCATAATATATAGTTCATAGCATCCAAATTGTTTATTTTAACATAAGCCCTAAACTTTTCACAAACTATTAATCCTCTGTGTACAGGTAAAAGAAAAATATATAAAAAGAAATGAGACACGTATATCTTCCACTGTTTCCAGTTTCAAACATAGAGCAGAAGGATAATAAATGTCACATACTACCAGATATGATCTAACTAAATAAATGTATTATAACACTTTCTGCCAAACTGACAGTAATGCCAACATTTTCCTCAGTGAAATTTAGCTTAGAATAATTACAGTATAAAAATATCCAAGATGGTTTTCATTTGAAAAGTTAAGAACTGAGTACAAACCCTGCTGCCTACATATTTATTTTGTCATAACCACATACAAAATATAATAAGATTTTGTCAATAGAATACAGATGTTGGAGTCGGACATCATAGTCATAAGACACCAGAATTGATGAGCTACTAGTATCCAGCTGGCCACTAAGAGCCAACACAACCATTATTGCCTATAAATTAACAGGCCCATCATGGGTAACCGTCCACAGGTTCAAGAAACTATCAACTAAGGGACTGGAACCCACTGACTTGTAAACCAAGTCTTAATTATATCAGTAATGTTTTTCTGATTATTGGACAGGATAGACTGTAGTGCAACATCCCATTTTACAATTGAGGCAAGCAGTGTAATGTAAAGTGTGGATGGAAGAAAAAAAACACGCAGAAACAAGACAAAGGCAGAGAGTGTCACTTTTATTTCTGTGTGTGATCTGACTTCAATATGTACTGTCACAACCATGTAAGCAATGACTCTAGAGTCTCAAGCTATATGGAGCATTTGAAAAAAGAAATGCAGTTCTATATTATGACAACCATTAGTTCAAATTTAACATCTGTTGCAATATAAACTCGAGCCATGTGCAGCTTATATGCCTATGTGAGTACAACAGAAACAGCTTTAACATAGAGAGAGCATCAGGACTTGGCATTAATCATCCCCCCCACTGCAGTTTCCTATAGCATACTTTCAACTCGAGAGCAAAAGAAGTTAAATTCACTGAAGGGTTAATGTACAAAACAGCTAAACATAGGGTTTGATTATGACTATGGCCTTGGAATGGGGTAAGCCAGTTTACAAAGCCCAGCAGCACATGAATAATTATGCAGAAAAACAGTCTTGACTGCAATTACTTTCACATAAAAAAAAAAAAAAAAGCTTTTAAAAATTACCACTATCATTCAAACCTTCAAACAAAATGGGTAATTTTTGAGGTACACAAGTATCCATGATGAGCAATGTAACCTGGTAAACTCCCCTACACGTGATGAGCAATATAACCTGCTATATTTCCCGACGTGAATTCCACACCAATGACTGGAACACAGAAGCGGTGACTGAACACAATACAGTACTGATAAAAAATGATAACACAGGAGTATGGTTACAGCTTCAGGTAATCTCTACATTGTAAACTCGCCAACAGTAACACTTGTTGAGGACACCATGTATGGACAGGAACTATTCTCTGGATAACACTTTAATTAGAAAACTCATAAACCTGCTTGGATATGAATAAGCACTAGGAGCTAAATGTTAACTATAATAGGTTCTTATTCTTGCATGGTATACTCAACAGTACACTGACTGGTTCTCTGGCTGAAAGCAACAATGACAAATATTATATTTTATGTTACCTTGCTCCTGGGGGCCACCGAGTCACCCCGTGACTAGGGTAGAGCTTTAGCCAATTACATAGGCTGCAGCTAGAGGACTTTTCATAAATCTGATTCATAACTCACTATCATTTATGATACTGATTTTTTTCTCATTATTTATTACCTGAAATGATTGTAATTAATGACAAGGTTGAGATTTCAATCTTATGTAAAATACAGTACATAAACAAATTTGTACATTTTGTTGTATTTGAAATATTTGAATAACAATGCTGTAGAAAATTAAGTTAAATACTGTAATATTTTAATAACTAATATTCACATTTGTAAAAATAATTTAAATGAAATATCACCAGATACATAATTTTATAATCTCAACTAAGCATACAGTATATCTATTAATCTTACCAAAACTCGTTCATTTAAATTACAGTACAGTACTATATGTGAAAAAAAGAAGAGCCGCTAATAGATTCCAAAAAAGATACAGTATACTGTATGTATTTAGTCTTCAGTACACACTAATTACTTCAGCTATACACTTGAAGTTGTACAGTTGCTGTAACAAAATTATAATCATATAGCAATTGTATGTGCACAGACGACTCCACATTTACACTTGGAAACTGGGCTTGTAAATTTTATGTTGAAATTTTTCAAGAGTCTGAAACACCTTTTTAAAATTCATAAAGATAATATGCTTCCATGTGTAACACTTAAGTAGAGTTCCAAAACCACAAAAGTGCATCTCCTGGCACAAAATTCATAATACAGTACAATTATTGAACAATACCCAAGTTGTTGTTCTAACCATTTAAAACATTATGTTCTTGTACTGTATAGTGTTTTCCTGCTTAATCTTAAATTTAGTATATTAAACAAAGTTCTGCATAATGTATGGCATTCAGATTCCTTACAACTCAAGTGTATAAATTTTATTCTACTGTTGCTCTTCAACCAAAGGGATGTCAAGTTTTCTTGGCTGTGTTGATACAAAATATTTAAAGAGGTTTACACAAGCCATAAAACAACTCGAATATTAAGTCACACATATACCATTCATGGCTATTACACATCAGTGTAGCATAACAGCTGTCACAAAATTGTCACTGATGATGGATGCGAGTGATGAATTGACCATGAAGGTTACATACATAAAAATCACTTAAGTTGCATCCTTTGTAAATACAAAATTTGGCTAAATAGTCTCATCTTCATAAACAAATGCAAAGCATCTGTAAAAATATTACTGTCCAGCATGTGCATTCAAGAACAAAAATCTCCTGCACACACACTGCACGAAAATGTTATCTCCTTATCCAGAAATAACTTAGGGTTTGAAATGTGTAATCTACCAATTATTATGTAGTGTACTTCCAATAACACACGTCATTCTTTAAGTTAAATTTGTGAAAATATTCCCACTACATTAACATGCATACAATATAATAAAACCATAACATTAAATAATCATGATATATCTCCAAACATTACATTACTGTACTAAATTAAACCCAATGTCATGCCCATACTGAGTTAACACAAGCAGTGTCATTTACAGTACAATATATCATGAGGCAGATGATGCCATCTACACAATTTTCTTTGTGACAATAAATTCAACAACAATCACAAGTCACTTTCCTGATGACTTATGTGGCTAAATATTACTTGCCATGACTAAGACTAGGTATTAATTTGTTCATGGATACATTTGACGACAAATTAAAATTGTACAAGGCGTATAAATTAAATATATTGTACAATTATAAATAAAAAAAATATACACAAGTACAATAGAGTACAAAGTGTTTATTTTTTATTCAACAATTACCTTTTCAATGGTTACTGTTACAAATTTGTATAAAAATTGAATTTTATGGAGGGGGGTTACTTTCACTTTATATATATTATTTCATCATATATTTTCCATTTAATTTGCTCTTCTTCTGAACTTAAACTTACACCACTGACAGATTTGTATGACCCTCATTCTCTTCCTGAGTTCAATGGCTGCAGATGTGTCATACCTGCAGAAGCGACATGGATGTGCCACAGTCATTAATTTTGAGCTTGATGGATTATTCTGCAAGTCTGATTATATATATAATATATATATATAATATACATATATATATATATATATATATATATATATATATATATATATATATATATATATATATATATATATATATATATATATATATATATATATATATATATATATATATGTATGTATATTATATATATTTATTTTTTTGCTGGTTCATTTAGTTATACAGCATATGAAAGAGCAGTTGTTACTGTATATAAATTTTCTTTGTGGATCATGGCAAGTCACAGCACTGATATGGTCTCGCACTCATTCACAAAAAACAATTCTGTACTTGCATCATTCTTCATATGGGCAAGACTAATGATGCCAACTATAAGTGCCACATTTAAACCCTAAAGTTTCATAATTGTATTTTCTAATTTTGACATTTATATAATCATTAAATGCAACAAAAATTGCCAGCTTATGCAATTTAATTATTTTGGTTCTCAACGTGCAGCTGAGCATCAAAAATTGTTGCTCCAGATTGAGAAAATCTGATTTTTATGACAATTTTTCAGCAGTCGATCTACGATGTATTGCAGGTGTTCAGGACATTGAAGAGCAGGGAAGACATGGAGAGCCCATCTGTGTCAAAACACGATCCAGCCACTGCAATGGGCCATTTAAGTGCAGCTCTATCCAACATGGTGTTGATGTTACTGTTTGACGTCTGAAAATTATAAATGTGCTAAGATAAATACAATACTCCTTCCATAAATCAGTTATGTTGCTGCTGTTGTTATTTTAATTTCAGCTACTCAGAACAAAAAGTTCCAAGTAGCACGGGCTATGGTGAGCCCGTAGTGGACTTACCTGGCACAGGAGCGGGGCTGTAACTGTTGAGTTATGTTGCACAATTACTGCCTCTATTGAGGACCCTGCTCTCTCCTTTTCACTCTTATTGCATGGATAGCCTGTCTGATAGATTCTCTCTCAGTACATATAACATAATCCACAATGGTTAGAGATAGATGATTAAATATCTGCACACTATTAAATGTGACCTATACCTGTGAACTTGCATCAAGAACTGTAACAGGTGGCAAATGGCATAGATTTTCAGGATAACTGGAAATCTTACTTTCCTAATGTCCGAGTCATTTGTCTCTTGATAAAATCCTTTATGAACCTGATAGCACCAATAAAAAAATTCTAGGTTTTTACTGATAGTTACTTACTAAATCAGTGAGAATGGCCCAGTGAGGAAAGGATGGACCAAAAACTGGGAACTATTAATTAAAACCCCTTCTTCCTCACCCCACAACATGCGATTTATCAGCCTATTAAAGTCATACGTACTGTAAACACGACTTTTTTAATAAATTAATGAGTTTGTGAAAATGTTTAGGTACAGTATTATTACTGTGCAATTCTCTGTTTTGGGTCACTTTGGTATTTTATTTCACCACATGAAGTTAGATCATTTTTCTATAAAAATAAAATTTAAATATTAAGTCATTGCAGTAAAAAATTGTTTGTTTTTTTAGTTACATGTTTTGGTAACTGCACTGCAAATGTAAATAAGCAGCTGAACAAATAATAAAAACAATTTTTTATTCCAAAAAAGTCGAGCTACAAATTTTTGCCATAAAATCATAAGACTACATAGAAATGTCGCTTACCTGTATTGTGCTCCCCATCCTTTAACAAAAGAGATCCGTATGGTACACATCCGAGTTAGTTGATACACAGCCTCAAAGCCTTGGCTGACACTCTGAGCTAGCTGATGTGCAAACTCTTGGTTATTGAAGATTTTTAGGTTACAACCTGCAGGAATGAACAAAATTAGATGGGTACAAATGGGTCTACAATGAACTAATTCATGAAATGATCTTCCATCAAAGAACCTTGTAATCTGTGTTCAAAGAAACATTTAAAAAAATTAAGTGAAGTTCAGAAGAAAATCAGGATACTGTAATTACAATACTTTATTCTTAGAATTTACCTAAAATAAACATTTTTTTATAGTCATCTGTCGGAAATTTCCAACACAATTTACTAACTCTTAACATGATATGCCAAGAAACAATTGCCATTTCATGTTAAGAAAATACTAACCATAAATACCTTAGTTAACCATGCTAAGAAATTTGGGTTTCATGACTGAGAAAATGAGATACTGTTACGTCACCTGATTTGAATTTACCCATAAACTTAAACTGTACCATAAACAATCTTTAAAACACCAATCTGGAGACCAGAATGAATAATTAAATCACAAATAAAATCAAGGTCTCCTTCCCGTTGTCAATAAGGGAACAGGAACAGAACTGTTCCTGGGACGCATCCCTAGAGCGGCGGGGGGGGGCTTGGGGGGAGGGGGGGAAGACGCCATTATTCACACAGTCTGGCCAAAACAACAGGCTTGCACGAGCACAGAAAGGAGCCTCCCGCTGGTCACTGTTGCTGAACAATGCCAGTCTCAAATTTTCAGCACGACTACACTAAACCATTGTTATGTGCTTCAGTTCCGATTAATGTATATACTGTATATTATTTCATATTTGGCCATTAATGTTTATTGTTGACTGGTTATGATGCATGGGAAGCCACCTGGAATAGGTAAGCTTCAATTAACAATATTAATCACCTTTCTTATCATCATGTCTGCCACATGTTGTTATTGACTTTCTACAATGTAACCCTTTGGCAGGTGAATTGTGACAAAAGGAAATATTGGAAGCATCCTAACTGGGTTTCACATGACACGCGATGACGCCATTAAACTCATGGTCAACAAGAAGACTGAGCTTACGTGATCTGGATGGGTCCATTATTGTCAACCATATGGCATTCTACAAAACCAGCTAAGCCTAGATAAAATCATTATTTAACTGTTCATATAAATGTAGAATAACAATAGAATTTACCTATCAATTATTTTTGATTTGGCAAACCTTATAAATAACCCCCCCAGGCCTGTGAAGGGAAGCTACTAGTGGGACAATTATAAATTATACAGTCTACACTCTATAAAGTAATAATTAATGATAAATAAATATCATAAAACTTGCTAGTCAGTTTTCCCCACACCATCAAAACCATAAACATATTGTTAGGTTCTCAAGTTTATATCTTGGTTGATTGTATGCATCTCAACTTCTTAGAACACACCTAAAATACCTCCAACTGGTTTTAATTCTCTCTCCCATCTCTTTATTTACAATAATTCTAATTCTTTAGTGTTACGTTATTTAACGGGTAGCGTTAATTATCCACATGCACCATCTATATCCCTATGCACATCCCTCTATAAACCCTACAAAAAGAAAGGGTTAAGAACAATACACAGGAAACAGTATAAAATATATTCATCAACAGTTCTGTTAAAAACAGTTCTCCACATTTGTTTGAAGTATGTGCAGCCTAATTTATTTTAGCTATGTTGACTAATCACTAAAACATGACGAACAGATAGGGTTGAAGGAGAATCAGTGGATGGGAGAAAGATGGGAAGTAATGTATTTAAGGATGAAGGCATGAGAAAGGGGGAAGGAATAGAAGGGAATGATTGATCAAAGAGTTGGAGGAAGGAAGAATGTAGTTAGGAAGGGGGAGAGGATCAAGGGATGAGGAAGGAGAAAACGATGAAAGGGGGAGACAAAGTTATACACAGAATCATATGAAAACCGTCACTTGTAATAAAAAGTTTATAACTTTAGTATTACAGTAAAGTAATAATTAATATTACCTGGAGGGATCTTCACCACAGTTGCTGGATGCCATCCATAACGTTGATTACAGTTGGGACTCTGCACAAAGATGGAGGAGTCAGAGAGGCACTCTGCAAATACCTCTCCACCAATGTAATAAAGACGCACGCCCTTGCCAATGTGACGTCTCGTTTGCTCTACCACTGGATTTCGATTTACATTAGATAGGAGGCCTAAGCAGAAGCGTTCACTGTTGCTGGGGTCTGTAAGAAAGAGTTTACATTTAAAATGGTAATGATCATTTAAAGAAGAAATTTTCTTTAAATTTCTGATGTTTTGTCTCCTCTGGAAGTTTAAGAGCTAGGCTTTGGAATAATGTTCCTTTGATATTTCAGTTAACGACCAACTCGTTAACAATACAATACTGTAATAAGAATACAAAAATTTAAGTTCCATGACAGCGAAGGCCCACCAAACACACTTGCACAATTTCAAGCTTTGTACTTTCTTTTTTAATAGGTGTGTCAAACTGTTCCAGCAGGTGACCCTGTTAAGGTTATATATCTGGCACAGAATGATAGGACAAAGGAAGTTGCCTCATGGGGGCTTGAACTTCAAGAGGATGCTATAAGCAATGTAAAATACTGAGCATCATGGTAATGCTCTAAGCAATATTAATTATAAAATTCAAGCTCTGCAACCCAAGACCTGAAGCAGTAATGCTTCAACATTTTCCTGAAGATAAGGAAGTTTGAATGGATATAAATAGGGTCCACTCCTAAAGGTTGCACCATTTGAGTGATGGGAACCCTAGAATGTAAATCTGCCATCAGAATACATTTTCCATGTAATTACTGTATATGAAATATTACGGTGGCTGAAAAGCTCTGGAAACTAAAATCCTACACTTCAAAAGACATCATGCATGTTGTGTTGGGAGCTGAACCTACTTAAATGAGAACAATGGGGACAATCCTGACCCGACTATGACAATCCACCAACACCCATTAGTCACCCTGTACAGTTGGGTGAGGCTAGCCTCAAGCATTTGACCTTGGACTGACATGCATAAACCTTCGTTTATAGGTATAGATGCGTGGTGAAAAAGCATCTGTTGTGTGTTCTACACTGTGACTCCTTGAGCTTGGAGCTGTTGCCCATTGTGTCAGTTACATTGGACCTTTTAAAGAAGTGGTCTGGATTAATATAGTCTAATCTCTTCAGTATTTTAAAGGTCTCAAGAACAGCCCTGTCATGTATAATTTACAGAGTTGCTAGTCCTGCAGCTCTCCACTTTGTTATGAGAGTTGACTTGGTTCTGGTGGTGATTATCGTAGCTCTGCACAGAACTTTTTCTAGTAGTTTTTAGTTTTTTTACTGTGAGGTCTCCATGATTGCATACAGTAGTCCAGTTGGGGAACAAATCAAATATTTGTACAAAAGAATAACCACTTTTCTTTTGTACAAAAGAATACCACAGGTAGTATTAGGTGATAGAGCCACATATTATTTTTCATCACTTGCGGTTAAGGTGTAAATTTTCGGGTAAGCAGAGGTATCAACAAGCAATAGCAAAGCCTGAATTTCACTTGGCCTCATGCCATGTTCAGGAATTTCCTTGCAAAATACACTAGGAAACCAAGGAAGAAAAATATGCTGTGTAAATCATGCATTCTTCAAATTTAACATTCTTCATCTAACACAGGATATGCATGCTTCAAGGATTATTCTGTTACAATCCCTACTAGTGCTTGTTCCTTAACTCATTGCTAATGAGGTATTGTATGTAATTTTCCCTTAGTTTACTGATAAGAATCACAGTTGTCATGCTTACCCCAAAATAATGGCAACACTGGCAGCAAAATGGCCATTTTCACAAAGTTTAATGACTCTAAGCTTATCCTTAATTGATTGCATACCTTCCTTCCTCTTATCACCTCCATATTGATTACTATTTCTACCAAATATGCTTTTAGCAAAACATGATCTAAGTCAGTATTAAACAAAAAAGAAAGGAAAGAAATGCTTTCAGTAACAGTTTTAGGAGTCACAATTATTATGTGAAGGAAAACATAGATTTCATGGAAAACGATTACATTTTCACACCATTCTTAAGTATGTAATGAGCAAAACTGACCTGTGAAGCCATCAACAGTGAGTGATGGCTGTGATGCATGGAAAGTCTCACCAACGCGTGTGTTGAGCTCGTAGTAAGAAATTGAACACCAGAAGGCAGGTTCACAATACGTGACTGGCTGGGCATCCAAGGGGGGGCTTGGAGATACAGGGATCATACCTGCAGATAAAAAAATAAGTCAGAACTGCATTGTCAAAATATTTAAATGCACAAGAGTGGATTAATAAATATAAATTCCATATCTACTGCTGTAGACAAACAAGTTACACGCAGAGCAGGAATTTGTATGGAGCTACAGTACTAAGATATAACTGCTGTCAGACAATAACAATGGTATTTAATGCCACAGATCAGCTGTGCTTACTATGGGTGAGAGGTAAAATAATGTGTCAATATTGCATTGTGTAAATATATACCAAATAAATAAGAATTAGGAAGCACTAAAATAAATCTGTTGATCCCTCTTAACCCAACTCACTCATAACTATCCAATCTAGTCTAAAAATTTATTAAACTGTCTTTAAACTTTATTAAGATTAGCTGGCAGCTCATTCCACTCATACACAATTCTATTTGCAAATCAGTACAGTACTTCCCCTCTCCTAAAATGAAATTACTAAAATTTAACCAATTTGAAAATAGAAAATAAATACCTGTACAGTATTTGAAAATAACGAAAATCACTGCCTGTTAGGCAAATTGAGCCTTGTATACTAGGCCAAGTAGTGTGGTCCTCTGTCACCTGGATCATTTTAAACTTGGAAGGGTCTGGGATCAGTATAAGACTGGGAGGCTTGGGATCAGTATAAGACTGGGAGGCTTTGGATCAGTATAAGACTGGGAGGCTTTGGATCAGTATAAGACTGGATGGCTCTGTCTGGATCAGTATAAGAAGACTGGAAGGCTCTGGATCAGTATAAGACTGGAAGGCTCTGGATCAGTATAAGACTGGATGGCTCTGGATCAGCATAAGACTGGATGGCTCTGTCTGGATCAGTATAAGACTGGATGGCTCTGTCTGGATCAGTATAAGAAGACTGGAAGGTTCTGGATCAGTATAAGACTGGATGGCTTTGGATTAATATAAGAATGAATGTCTCTTTTTTATGCAGTTTTAAAGATTCAAATGCCTCTCTTTAACTACAAAGTTAAAACTTTGTAACTTTATGTTACAAAGTTTGCAACATAGTGTAATTACACTTAGGTCATCACAGAAGAGCATGCAAGCTACACATGTGTACACACCCACCTCAAGATAAAATGTGTTGCAAGGTGAACTGAATGAATGTCTCAGAATCTCTTAAGCTGATGATAATTGACTTGGAGTAAAAACCATCATTATATATAATAAGTGTATCATTAACGACTGTACCTCATTCTCCGAGACTGCCTCCAATTATTAATTCACGACAATATTAACACAACAATATAATATTGCAGCATATACACATTTTACTATATATATATATACAGTATATATATATATATATATATATATATATATATATATATATATATATATATATATATATATATATATATATATATATATATATATATTTATTTATTGCAGGTCCTGGAGTTTCAGTTTGTTCTTGTAATTACCTAAGTGTAGTTACAGGATGAGAGCTATGCTCATGGTGTCCTGTCTTCCCAGTATTTTTGTCGTATAACATTTAAGAGTGTGTACTGACCAATAGGCCTTCTGCAGCTTCCTTTAGTTCTTATGGTTCAAAGACATTGTTTTGCACCTCACACCTCAACTCCTTGTTGATATATATTTTACTTTCGGTAATGTGTTAATTGGTAATGTAATTGGTAATTAATTGGTAATGTGTCACTAGCAAAACTGCCACTTCTCTACCTGTTATACAGGTTCAAATACCTCCAAGTTTTTCACAGATTAAGGAGCAAATCCAGAAGAAAATACACCCAAATATCAAGTCCCCACAGAGCCAAAGTAGCGGATGGAAGATCCACTTCGATATGGTACGAACAAGCCACTGGGTACTACTCTTTCAAGCCTGACAAAAAGATATCCAGAGACATTGCAGTAATCATACACAGACTCAGACTTGATTACAAGTGCTGCTGGGAGGTAATAAACCCAATAGGTTTTGGGTGAGGTGATTGACATTTGCACATGATAGAACATGAACCAATGGGTATAAAAACATAAGAATGGAAGTAACTGCAGAAGGCCTATTGGCCCATATTTCCTATTGATGCTTCTATATTGGTTCGGGTAGTGGGTAGAATATAGTTGTGCATTAATTGGCTGTTGATTGCTGGTGTTGACTTTTTGATGTGTAGTGCCTCGCTTTTTCAGCCATATTCCCCCCCTTTTTTATCTCTATTTTTATTTGTTCTCAACACATTTTATTCTTAATACTCAATTAGTATTAAGCTTTAGTCATTTAAGTTTTTCATGCCCGAAACGCTTTGCGTAATAGTGGCTTTAGGCATTGTATGTACTAGCTCTATCTATAAATCCATCAATTTTTGTAAAAATCTCTTGTATGTATGTACCTTACCTAAATAAACATTTATTTATTTATTTATTTATTTATTTATATACATGCGTTGCTGAGCCACAGCAATGCATGGCCGGGTACTGCTAGTGTGTGTGTTTACTAGTTGTGTTTTGCGGGGGTTGAGCTTTGCTCTTTCGGCCCGCCTCTCAACTGTCAATCAACTGTTTACTAACTACTTTCTACTTTTTTTTTCCACATCACACACACACACACCCCAGGAAGCAGCTTGTGACAGCTGACTAACTCCCAGGTACCTATTTACTGCTAGGTAACAGGGGCACTTAGGGTGAAAGAAACTTTGCCCATTTGTTTCTGCCTCGTGCGGGAATCGAACCCGCGCCACAGAATTACGAGTCCTGCGCGCTATCCACCAGGCTACGAGACCCCTTGATATTCCGCCCCTCCGTCCTCGTACCTCTCCCAAGTACTATATATATATATATATATATATATATATATATATATATATATATATATATATATATATATATATATATATATATATATATATATATATATATATGTCGTACCTAGTAGCCAGAACACACTTCTCAGCCTGCTATGCAAGGCCCGATTTGCCTAATAAGCCAAGTTTTCCTGAATTAATATATTTTCTCAAATTTTTTTCTTATGAAATGATAAAGCTACCCATTTCATTATGTATGAGGTCAATTTTATTTTATTGGAATTAAAATTAACGTGGATATATGACCGAACCTAACCAACCCTACCTAACCTAACCTAACCTATCTTTATAGGTTAGGTTAGGTTAGGTAGCCGAAAAAGTTAGGTTAGGTTAGGTTAGGTAGGTTAGGTAGTCGAAAACACATTAATTCATGAAAACTTGGCTTATTAGGCAAATCGGGCCTTGCATAGTAGGCTGAGAAGTGCGTTCTGGCTATTAGGTATGACATATATATATATATATATATATATATATATATATATATATATATATATATATATATATATATATATATATATATATATATATATATATATATATATATATATATATATATATATTATAGTGTGTGTGTGTGTGTGTGTGTGTGTCTTGCCAAACCTGTTGTGCAGTGCAATCTTGAAAAATTCAGATGAAGATTCGAACAACTTGTGCATTCATTATCAGGTATAAAACAGACATAAAACGCACACACGCTAAATATACAAGGATACAAGCCTTCCTCATTAAATTAGGAACAACATGTTAGAAAGGCTATAAAACCCATCTCCCTGAGTGAATGAGTGAGGCGTGTGGTGCACCACCTCAACATTGTCTTGTGAATGAGTGCTTCCAGGGATGGAGTAGTGCTTACAACCTTCATGGCCGGGAAGAAGAGCACCAATTATCGGGAGAAAGCGCAGAGCCATTATGACTAGGAGCTGGTAATGACCAGGAGAAACACACCTTGTGTGTCTCGAGCACTTGAGGTATGGTGGGTGCCTCCGCCACACAAAGGTGCCTCTACCCATAACTGTAGTTAAGCTGTCGGAAGGGTGCCCTGCCAGACCCCGTCATATGTCAAGGCTATTTAAATTTAAGCCGATTACGGTCATCTCTCTACCCAACCACTTAAAAGAGTGGTCGGTACAGCTACGATATCGTTCCTTGCAGGTCGGCGTTCGATCCCCGATGGTCCAAGTAGTTGGGCACCATTCCGCCCCTCCGTCCTCGTACCTCTCCCAAGTACTATAGAACCATACTGGCTTGGCACCTGCAGCTGATCATTACCATTATCTTGAGGTTATCTTGAGATGATTTCGGGGCTTTAGTGTCCCCGCGGCCTGGTCCTCGACCAGGCCTCCACCCCCTGGAAGCAGCCCGTGACAGCTGACTAACACCCAGGTACCTATTTTACTGCTAGGTAACAGGGGCATAGGGTGAAAGAAACTCTGCCCATTGTTTCTCGCCGACGCCTGGGATCGAACCCAGGACCACAGGATCACAAGTCCAGCGTGCTGTCCGCTCGGCCGACCGACCGTGCTTGCATGCGTATAAGACATGCGCACAAACTGACCCGCGCACACGATCAAACCAGGAAGATGCAAGAGGAAAAGCGGGTGTGTGTGTGTGGGTCCCTAACTGCCTACCCGAAAACAATTCCAACTCTTGTGATGATAATAAAGTCAAATTTGTCGGCTGTAAAACATAGGAGAAACGAGGCTCTGATACTCTGATTTTCCTCGTTGTGGCACGGCGCTCCCTCCCTCTTCACCCTCACCTCAACGCCACACTAAACACTACGCCTTCACACTAACTCTCCAACACTACACTACGCCTTCACACTAACTCTCCAACACTACGCTACGCCTTCACACTAACTCTCCAACACTACGCTACGCCTTCACACTAACTCTCCAACACTACGCTACGCCTTCACACTAACTCTCCAACACTACACTACGCCTTCACACTAACTCTCCAACACTACACTACGCCTTCACACTAACTCTCCAACACTACGCTACGCCTTCACACTAACTCTCCAACACTACGCTACGCCTTCACACTAACTCTCCAACACTACACTACGCCTTCACACTAACTCTCCAACACTACGCTACGCCTTCACACTAACTCTCCAACACTACACTACGCCTTCACACTAACTCTCCAACACT